CTTTCCTGTTGCTAGAACCTTGCTTTCATTTGCTAGGTTACAGTCTCACTCACACATTCAGGTCTGAACAGTTAAGATCTGATCATTACAACACTAGGTTTTGATATCGGTGACAGTAGGGTACTACTTTCTTCTCAACTTAAAGAACAGCTCCATGTTATAGCCTGCCTTATTAACCTTTTTTGTCTTTTAGCGAATTGTGACACAGCTAATTGCATCGACTGATTTGTTGGGCCATATCATGCACTTTCCAAGTGACAGGAAGAATTTTTCCACTTTTAAATTTCTAGATGTTTTCTTAATAACATCCTCAACATTTGAGGCATCCAGCTTCCAGAAATAAAAGTCACATGACTAGCTGACTGACATTCAGAGCATTTCCGAGGCTTGAATGGATATCAACAAAACTGACAACACAACCTGTAGCTTCAGTCTGGTCATGTTCAGATTCTGGGTCAGTTTTAGTTTTAGATGAATTCAGACCCTGTAGTGCTGCTCTGCCATGAGGAAGCATTTTGAATTCATTGCAGCTCTGATTCGCTGCTCTGACTGGCTCAGCAATGGCAACTGAAGCTAATGAGCATTGTGGTATTTATAGCTAATTACCTGTTACTAAGGAACCATGTTTTTTATGTCAAAGTTGAAATAATTAAAACTAATATAACTGTTGTATGATCCTGGAGACAAATTCAAAGTGAGGAAAATCACTGGGTACAGAACGAGCAGCTCCTCACACTTAGCATCTCATTAGGGTTTCATGACAGAAACTTGGAAGTTTTCCAAGGTAATTTATCAAAATTATACTGTAGCGTTATGCGTTAACCATCGCATGTTATTAAAACTGGGATTTTTTTTCCTGTCGCTATTCTATATGGCGTCAGATACCACAACACCCATGAGCCTTAGCTGCACAGATCAGAGCTGCTGCCAGTGAAGACATCTGGTTGCAGTTGTGACCCACAGCTACTGAATTCATTCAAAACTGAACTCAAATTTAAAACTGATTTAATGTTGCACACTAAATGTTTTGTCAGTTTTCTATAAAGTTAAGTCTTTAGTTGATGTTTCCAGTGTGTGAAAGCTGGATGTTTTGCCCCTGAAGCTATAGTTTGTTTCTGTCTTCATGTTTTCATGCATATACTTTATACCTCTGACTTTTCATCAAAGAGTCAGATATTTTGTACTGATGATTCAAACAGGAGAGCTTCATGTCCATCACAGCCTTGAAGTGCTCCAACTGTCAGTAACATCATCTGTCTAATAAGATGAACAGGACTTTCAGAACGCTCAAGACCCAAACTGTTTCCTCACAAATTCATTTCATGTACTTGTTGCAGTCTGTTGCATACTGCATAGCTGTTACTTGCATGAAAATTACTACTTTGTTTTCTGAAAGGAAAAACTTTTTTCCTCTGAGCTGCTCCTGCCAAAAAAAGGTCAATGAAGCATTAACCCTTTGATCGATCAAGTCAACATTTCCAGTGCTGTTCACTGTACTTTCTCATGTGTCTTTGTCTCCGTAAGAGCTGTGGTAGTTGAGATGCTGTCGTGCTTCCAGCTGGGGCCCACACTCTGAATGCTGTTTATTTTGTGGAGCTTATGGCAGCTTCTCTGAATCAACACGTAGGAGGGTGATGGGCTGCATGTACTCCAAAATTCATTTGATTTCCTTTCAGAAGCTGCACTGTTCATTAGCTGAGAGCAGGCTTGTAAAAACACTTATTTCTTTAGTAGCTTAATACTCTGTTCCACTTCAAACACGGCAGACTTGTTCTGGTGGCTGATGCTAGACGAAGTAAATGTAATTTCACTGTGTACTGTAAATGATTCTGGCATTGGATAAACAGAGAAAAAGTGAAATGTAAATAATGAGTGCAGCTCGGCATCGAAATGTCATCACCCTGATCAGTTTACTGCAGCGACTGAGAAACCATCCATGACTATTCCCTTTGATTCTGACACTACGACTAGAGAGTGCATCACCTTACTGACAAACTGACACCTGATATAAACGCTGGCTCGACCAGAAAAAGCTACACCCTCTCCTACTTCATGTCTAATTGTGTACTGGTGAATAACAAGCCACCATACTTCGCTGACCCCCTGCAGGCACTGGTTCCTGGCCTTTATAGGAAATGCAACCTGCTCAGATTGATGACGAGAACACCGAGGATGATTTACCAAACCCTATAGCCAATTTGCTCTCACGCTGCTCAGGTCTTATTCCGCCAAGCACCTTGTTTGTCTCCCTCTGCCTCTCTCCATTTTGTTTTCCTTGTCTCTCTGCTTTTGAAGGTGGGCACATCAAATCCATTACTCAATCTGCTCAATGGAGCAAAGCCCATTTACCAGTTGACTCATTTTAGATGGATCATTTACTCTTTCATCCTCTCTGACAATGCCACTGATGTAACCAGAGGGACTGAAGATGGGTGGGGGGGGGGCACAAAATCATACTGTCTTGTTCTTTTTCACAGTAGGTGGTATTCTGGGAGGGGGGGCTCTGCAGAATCATATGAGGCTCATAAATCACAATGCTATTACAGTATACTGCTGTGTTGTGGTACTGCTGAGGAAACAGCTACTATGGAGTTCATGCTACATGGGACATGTAAAAACAGCAAACTCTGTTATCCCATCAGAATGGAATTCAATCATGCAGGGGTCAAAATGATCCTTTGTCCGAACTGAGCAGGATAAGAGGAATATCAGGTAACGCAGGGAGTTCAAGCCAGTTACACATTACACAACTGTCCAACTATGTGTCGCTTAGTGGTTCATAATAGACAGAATCATGATTAGATCTAGAGGTTGATCATACCAAACACTGTGCATGCTGCTTAAAGTGCACATCGGCTATGGCACAGTACACAGCTAAAAATGACAACATTTACTAAGTGCAATAAGTAAATGACACACTAATGAGGCAGGGTGAACTCTCCCAGCACCGCTCTGTATCATTAAGTGAATAGATTAATATAATAAAAGCATCAGTCGGATCCCATGTGCTTTATCAGGCTCGTGTTGCCATGGTGATGATATCAACAGAAGAAATCTGACTGAATGACAAACCTTTGTCATGTTTATCTACTGCTGTTAAACTTTTGTGTTAAGTATAAATCCAGCTTCACACACTGGCCTGAGTTTTGTAGGTGCTACTTTTCCAGTACATTCTGTGGCTGGATGGGTTTTCTGATTATCATATAACATGATACATGATACCAGACTGACCTTCCTTCTTCTGAACTGTATTCTACTGAACACAAACTGAACTTTATCACCCTCAAGAAGGAGGATTTACTGCAGAACTGTTGGATGTGAATTATCATCCAGCCTTACTACCTTCATGATTAGGAATGCAACATTAATTTGGCAGAATCTTTAACTTGGGTTTTCCTCTTACATACACACTTAAGGAGCAATTTGGGATCCAATTATCTAATAAGGCAAAGTGAACTTTGACCTCTCTCGCTCAAGGACAGGTCAGCATGTCAGCATGATGAGCTCGTTATCAAACCATACAGCCTTCAATAAATAGCTGACCCTCTCTACTGGCTAAGCTACAGCTATACCCATTTTAATATAGGCTTATCTAAAACCATTGCTTGCTAGTTTAATTCCTATCCTTAGACCATTATTGGCTCCAATAAACTGTTTCACTTCATCTGTCAAATCATACATTTCTTTTTGATTCATGGACATGTTCCTACTTTAACCCACAGCTGGGTGACGAATGAAAGGAAAATAAAATAAAGTGTCTTATGAAGGTGTAGCCTTGAGAACAGCTTCAGTGCTCCACGCCACGGACTAGTCTACGAACTCTACAGGAGGGATGGTGCAGATGGAGAGTGCTGTTTAACATTTCACTCCAAAATGTCATACTCATTGGAAAGAGATGCATTTGTCAGCATCTCTGCTCACTGGTTGTGCTTTTCCCTTCAACGTGTCACTCTGCTGTGTGTTATTGTTGCTCTGGGGTGCTTTACTTTGATCACCGATACAGCTGCTAACAGAAGGGAGTTAAAGCAGGAAGTTATTAGATGTTCAGATATTGTTGGCTCTCCCATGTGCACTAACCTGTCGGTTCCGTTCGTCTGTGATCCTCTGAATCTGAATCTTTTTCCTCCCCATGTTGCCGGTGTGGTGGGAGGAGCAGGGGCTGTGTCAAGGTCAGAGGTCACAGATGGCTGTTGAGTTTCTCCCTCCTCCAGAAGTGTTTAATGTTTGCTCACTCAGTGCACGGTGACTGTCTTTAATGTCTCTCAGTTTGCTCACTCAGTGCACGGTGACTGTTTAAAGCAGCTGAGCAGGGAGGCTGTTACACCAGTATTAAATAAAAAAAAAAATAGGGAAAAAAAAAGAAAAGAGAGGGAGAAGGAGGAGAGGAAGGACGGAGTTCGGTCTGTGTCGCCTTCTTCAGATCATGGTCCTGTTTCCGAGTGCAGGTCATCCACACTCGGGCTGGACAGGGATCCTCTGCCCTCCCCTTCACCTTAGCTGGGCAGCTCCTGGAAAACAACACAGAGGCATTCATCAGGCTGAGAGACTGAAACTCTGAAAATGGGAGAGAGGCTTTGGCTTGACATACAGCGAGAGAATAAATGATGCAGCGATGCATCTGAGTCGTCATCAAATCAGAAGCACATCAGTGCTGAAATGAAGAAGGGGGAGGGGGTGGTGGTCTGTGGTGCTACATACAGAGCAGGAGGCCCTCAGGGGCCCACGAGGAGGAAGGCTTGACAGTGTCATTAGAGGCATCTTCGCCACATCACTGATCTGCTGGTCGCCCGTGGCAACCGGCTGCACGGGCTGGGACCGCCTGACACGCCGATTGTGACTCCCTAATTGAAGGCAGAGCAGAGAGGAGCCACAGACGGTGGATTCAACATATTTTCCTTTTCCAGACCTCGTCCTGTTCTCTACAAATTCCTTGACAAGAAACAGGCTTTAGTGAGAGTTAAACACAGACTAAAGGCTGTTTCCTGTGTGCTGATAGTGGCAGGACAATATTACAGCTGACACTACATGGATGGAAATGAATCTCCCCTCAACTATGCAAAACATCTAATCACATGTTCACTGGGATTAAAAAGCTAATTTCTGTATGAACCTTCTATATATTGCTTGAAGATTTTCCAGTTTCAGCATAGACGCTCAACACGTCTGCAAAGCAGATGTGAGTGGGCAGATTTCCACTGATGACACTCAGCGCTGAAATACAGGTTGGCTGACGCGGTTTTGTGTTGGGTAATAACATTCTGCCTTATTACCTAAACCGAACACTGGCCTAATTCCCAGCGACACAGAAAGATAATGAGTGGAAAAATGTGGGTCTGCATTTAACTAACCATGAAACAAGTGTGGTCTGCACTATGCTATGATACCTAATCAAAAAGAAAGGATGGGTATAATAAAACTTCCAAAGGTCAAGGCAGACAGGGAAAGCCCAGAGTGTCTCTGCAAATTCATGCAAACTCATGAATGAAAGAGACAGTGGCAACAGCCCAAGAATGGCAACAGAGCGAGGACCGTTTTAGGCCCCATTACTACTATTTGTAGTTCAGCTTTAAAAATAGCGCTCTATATATACATACGGTACAGACTGTGTACACACAGCACAGCACACACACACACACACACACACACACACACACACCATTGGGAGCCAAGTAGCAGCATCACAGAATCATCTGCTGCTACCTGGGAGAGGAGCTGAAGACAAACGCCCTCTATTCATATGAACCAAAGAACGTGAAATAGTCCGTCATGAGTGATGCTGCCTTTGTGCAAGAGTGGATACCCTTGGCTTAGCATTGGTGACGAGTGGCTTATGAGTTATGCGCTGATGGAGAAAGTGGAGGGGGAGCTGGAGAAAGAGCATGAGTGTTTTAATTGTTTTCTAGAAGGGCATGAAGGACAGGAGGCTGCTAGAAATCCACAGCGAGCAGCAGGAAATGAATGTACAAATATCTAAAATTTGTCTCTTTAACTTCTCTTCAACTCTGTCCTTTTGACAGGCACAAATTTACTAAAAGAACTCAGTACCAGGTAATACATTCTACGTGCATCACCTCATGAGTGCACTTCTGGAAATCGGTATGGTGTTCCTAATGTGTTGGACATTCATTCAGCTTCAAAGTGTAGCAGATAGAGAGGTGCTGGTAACATTTTTCAGTAAACAATAACGAGGTGTGTGTGTTCATACTCTTCACAGCCTTCATCAGCTGCAAAGCAAGTGAGACTCGCTCCAGTTGCGGTGGAGTTCAAAGGCGGCACACTGAGGGATTTGTCTTTAGGCCGTGGGCTGATCACACATGAAAAGGCTGCTTTATCTGCCCGGGGTGGTCAAGTCTCAACCTTTTACCCTTCATGCTGCCGGAGCCCGCTTCCCATGTCTGATGTCAGACACAATCTCTGCTATCACATGGGAAGTGAAGCGCCTGGAGTGTGTCTGTGGCCTCACTGAGCAGGCCCGGGCGACAGACAGGCTCTGGACAATGAAAAGCAACTGTGATAATTAGGAACCTACAACAGACCCAGATTAGAAATGTGGAGAAAGCCTAAAAACACACAGTTCAATTCACAAGGGGCCAGTGACAAGCTCTTCTTTTACATTTTATCCCAGCTGGACTCAGGGAATATAGACAAATTGGAGCAAAGGAATTCAGAGCTTGTGAAGAAGATGCACAAACAAACATTAAAAGTACTGCTGCAACATCCTCTTCATGTCTGCAGTTTTTAAACAAAACATGTCAAAAATTGATGAATATCTCCTCATCCCGGTGGACAAATCAAACATGTTGATAACAATCTGTGATGTCTGTTCATCTTGTAATACCAGATGTTTTCATGCCATCTGTACAAAGATGGTTAAACATACTTGTAGAGTCATTCCAATACCTCTCTGTAAATTGAACTGGCCTGGTTTTGGTCATATAGTCTAGAAAATGCATCTTGTGTTTTTGTTTCCAAGACGATGCAACGCAGTGGTACGTAAATCTACAAGAACAACTAGCAGCCTGAAAATCAGACAGATGCATATTAGCTACAAATGTCTGCTATAAAATAAGTTCTAAAATGTCTAGGTTAATTACACACTTTGTTGGAGAAAGATCAACAAGATGTATTTCAAAGGGATAACAGTATACACCCAGAAAAAAACAGAATCTGGGCAGCGGAATACAACGTCTTAACTGAACATTAGAAGTGGTATGAAAAACAAACAGAGACTGTTACTGCACAAGTGTGAGTGTGTCCACTAAGCTTTGCAGAGGGCACATCAGGGCACATCAGGCCACAGCCTCGGGGCAGCCTGCAACAAAGATTACTCCATAAAAGAACAGTTAGAAAATGTTGCAACATTATCCCTGACATCTGTTGCTGTGGCTGCTAAGCATTTCAAAGCTTCAATCTTCTATTCCAGCGATGTGGGTGGAAAGCCATGAGCTGCGAGGGCAATATTATGGTTTTAATTCATGAGGAGAAAGTTAAGGGGGATGTTCTTTTTCAGCTACAACATGCTTCTTGACTATGCCCAGTTGCTGTTGGAAGCTGCCCAGTACAACCAGTCCTAGTCTTACTAATACCGGAGCCCCACAGGGACGTGTTATTTCACCAGTCCTTCTTACACAAATGTCTGTCAATCTGTCAGAGCTGGATTTGCTTATTTGTCTGTGCCACAGACCACAATGGTTGTTCATTACAAAACACCAGACCCTGATATTTTTCAACATTGTCGCCCCAAAGGCTCTAAATGGCCAAAACCTTTTACAGCATCTGAAGTAAGCAAGAGTCAAGGGCCCATGCACAAGATCTCTGGATATTCTTAACAAATATCAGGGTCCTGTGTTTTGTAATGAGGAAACATGTCACCCAGTGCAGCAGTGTGTTTCACTGATGACACAAATGATCTCACTCTACATGTTCAAAAGACCCAGAAAATCATCTTTGACCCTAAAGTGGTTGCTGATCATAAACAGGTGATGATTCACGACCAATCAATAACACAAGTCCAGCCTTACAAATATCTGGGCATCTACACTAACAGCAGTTTAACCTGAAATATCCAGGTTGATGCGTTCTGCTCCCAAATTCACCAGAGGCTGTATTTTTTGTGTAGACTACACTTTTATGGTGTTGACTAAGACATTATGTTTCAGTTTTATCAGGCTCTCATACAGAGTGTCATCAGGTATGGAATAGCAGCATGCTTTGGCAATCTGACAGTGAGACTGAAAATAAGGCTGACAAATACTGTATCATACAAATAGCAACTAAAACACCTGGCCGTGATTTGAGTCTAGATTTTGTTGGCTTTTACAAAGAAAAGCGTGATGTGATCAGACGATGTGGCTTTGTGTGTGACTGATACAGTAAAAGAAGGGAGCCAGATACAAGCAACCAAATATAAAACAGTCTAAGGCTAAGGCTGGGCAGCACAGTGGTGCAGTGGTTAGCACTGTCACCTCACACCAAGAAGGTTCCAGGTTTGAACCTGGTGGTCGACGGGGGCCTTTCTGTGTGGAGTCCGCATGGTCTCCCAGTGCCTGTGTGGGATTTCTCCCACAGCCCAAAGACATGCAAAGACAATAGGTTAAGCGGGGACTCTAATTTGCCAGTAGGTGTGAGTGAGAGTGGTTGTCTGTCTCTATGTGTCAGCCCTGTGATTGACCAGTCCAGGGTGTACCTCACCTCTAGCCCAGTGTCACGAGAACTGGAACATTACAAGTGCGTACTGTGTGTTCAACTGACTGCAAGCAGTTCCCGTTTATAACATATCCATGGACAGACAATTATCACAACATCGTGATAAGTCTCTAGTGAGTGTGTGTCGTCTGTTTGTGCTCTTTCTACATGTCCATTCTTTACTGCCCAGAGTAGCTGGGAGCACAGTGATAGGAGGCTGGTACCTGGAGGGGGGGGACTGCCAGACAACTGCTGAGAAATCCACCACTTTTCCAACCCCTGAGTGCGATCAGCTCCACTCCAGCCCCCGCTGCACCGTTCACACCAGCCCAAACTGTGATTACACTAACCTGGATTACTCCGGTTCTTCATGGGTAGAGTGAGGTGCAAACGCCACAGATGTCACGAGAACTGTCTGAATCATCATCTACGCATAAGCATGTGCTTACACCAAATGTGATAAATGTTAGTGAATTTCAATACCCAGTACACATGTAAGGAATAAAGGAAGTCAGAGGTACAGTATATCAATATCAG